ATAAAGATAACATTCTTAGAGATGACATTTAACATTGTCCTACTAAGGAACACTGAGTACTTAGAAGAGAAGGAATGCAATGGAAAGGCCTGATTGAATAAATGTTAGAAGAGCTAAAACATCAACTGGGTGTTGGTGAGGCAACAAAGAAATTGACAAAATTGGGCAGCACTGTAGCTCTAAGGAGTAGGGCACCGGCCCCATATGCCGGAGGTGGTGGGTTCAAACCCAGGCCCAGCCAAAAGAAAAACTGCAAACAACAAACAAACAAACAAAACAAATTGATAAAAGTAAGAAGCCAGCACCAAGCTCAGCTAGAGATTCAAAGAGAAGAGGTGTGTGACAGAGCCCAGAGGCTGGAGTCTATCACATAAAGCTGGAAACAATGCAGACCTTTCCAACAGAACCTGGAGCTTAGACTACTTCCAGAGACTTCTCCCAAACATAGAGGCACAGGGAATCACACAATGTTTTTCCCCTTTCCACCTTCAATCTACTGCCTGGGCCTCTTGGGGGAACAGCCCACCTGGGAACCTGAGAATTGTAACCTACAGTAGTCAGTGTCATGTCCCTTCTCCCATTGCCCCAACACAGAGAAGACCAGAGCAAGGGGAGGGACCCTTTGCTCCTCCTTTTGGACCCCAGAGCAAACAGTCCCAAGACTGTCACAGGCTCTGTCTGAAAATAGACCTGGCAGGCATTCGGGGTAAGGAGACACTTGATTTTTCATTAATGTGTAAGAATGTTTGAGGGAAAGGAATTTGCTCATCTGTTAAGTGTGACTGGGGAGACCAGGTGTGAAGAAAAGAAAATAGATGGGAGTAGACATGAAAACACAGGCCTAATACTGAAGGGTGTTGTTGGCCACACTCAGGAGCTTGAAATCTCTTTTGTAGGGGGTCATTATAGAAGCAGAATATGCCTTGAAAACACAATTCTGTCAACATTGTAGAGAGAATTGAGGGGGATGTGGAGAAAGTTTATAATCTATTCATATAAGATGATGTAGTAAAAGACTTCCTTGGTAGAGGTGTCTGTGAGGGCTACTGATCAGCCCTAGAGTCACTACAAACTGAATTAAAACTAGCATTCTGATGCTATAGACTCCAAACCAATGAAGTTAGTAAGACACTAGACTTGTCAGATAATACTTGGAAAATTCCTTTATATTTTTTAAAATAAAAAATTTCTGGAAATATGCTCAGGTAAAGAATACTTGAAAAAATGGAGATATTTAACTTAGAGTTAGGAGAGAGAGAGAAGCACTTAAAATGCCTGCATGTCTTTATAAAAACAGGTTCTCTAGAGCTTATGATCCAAATGAAAAATTAGTTAGTTATGCCCTTTTGAATGGTGCTGCTAGAAATAAAAATAGGACAAACTGAAAAATCTATTCATTGCTTTAATCATGCCTTTCAGGGGTGACTACATTTTAGGGCATTTAATCTGTTATTCAGTGGAATGGGTTTTAGCCAGGGCCTTGAGAGAATCATCCTCCTCAACTTCACTCTTCTTTATCCTGTGGTTACACCAAGTGTGATAGGGCCTCCTGAAAGGCAGAAGGAGAATAAAAATCAGAGCAGCTTTACATGTAATTAGCATGTTGCAAAAAATATTTACTTCCACTGTCTTATTAGCCAAGCATTTTATTGAAGGAGAAACACTGACTCAGTGTGGTGAAATCTCATCTAAAATCACCATGGTGGTTGGTGGTAAAGTCACAGCTAGAACATATGACTCTGTCATTTAAAAATTCTTTCTGGAAAGGTCACAATTGCACTTTCCTTGAGATTGTAAGACATATAAATTTTAGATGAGCATCATCAATATAGAGGAAATACACCTTTAAAGTGACAATAGGATGGGTTAGGTGTTTAGGGTGACTAAGCCCTCCCCCTTGTCAAATTGATCACTCCAAGCCATACTTACCAGCAGTTTCTTCACAGACTCAGAAGCCTCTGGTCCCAGCTCATTCACGCACTTCCTTAGCCCTTCTACAAGGTGTTCAACAGAAATGCCAAGAGTTTTCAGAAGAAGCTTTAATGGATCCATGAAGGAAAGAACATTGTCCAGAGGAAGCACTTTGTCAACTGGGGCAGGAAGAGGCAAACTATTGAAGAGGAAGGCAGTAGCTGCAGAACAAGAGAGAAAGCAGGTGAAACAGGCACATTCAGTTCCTGCATATGACCTCATCACTTTCCATTCCATCCATCAGCAGCCCCATTCCAGACCCACTCATCTTCATTTCCCATGACAGCCTCCGCCTCTTTCCTCAGCTGTCTGTCTTTCTCACATCATTTGGTGTCTCTTCAAATGTTACCTCCTCAGAGAAGCATGCAATGGCCACTGTATCTGAAATAGCACCACCCATCAGTTACTCTCTGTCTTCTTTTTTCTTACCCTTGTCTGAAGTAGTAACTGATATTTTTATTGCCTTAATTTTTGCATTATGATGTAGGTTTCAAAAGAAGTCAGAATTTATGTTTTATTCACTGCTGCACTCCATGACTAAAACTGATGCTGGCCTGCAGTAAGCACTCCATAGAACCTTGCCATTGAATGGAAAGAAAGGTACTTTGTATGTGGAGATTCATTAGGAGAGATGCCCTGATGAATCTCCATTCAGGGATGAGAATGGACTTCACAGTCTAGGGAGCTGCTCCCAGCCAATTCAGCTTGACACTGCAGAGACAGTTGAACTCAGGCTCTATGCCAGTTAGTGGGGATACATAGACAGATAGCATAGAGAGACCTCACATGCTTCAGTGGACAATAAAGATCTATGTGGCCTGTTGTTTGATAACTCAGTAGACAAAGTTCTATGAAAACACAAAGGAAAGGATGACTAATGCTGTTGTGGGAGGATGTTGCAGGAATCTTCCAAAAGAAATAATATTAGACCTATGTCTGAGATGAACATCTGTAACTTGAAGTAAAAAAGACAGGCAATAATTTAGAAAGAAAATGAAGAAGGCACTAAGATGTTAAGATGAAAGTGTATGCACAGAATGGTGGGTCTTCTGCTCAGAGACACTGTAATGCACTGATCCAGTGGGGTCTTTCCAGGGATGGAACATAAAGAGTATGAGTTGAGTAAATTGAGTGAAAGGAAGAGATTTGGATGTCAAATCAATGAGTTTGGATTTTTTTCTTGTAGGGATTGGGAGCTATCATGGCTTTTCCATGGGACAATTACATTTAGGGCTTTGGCTTTAGAAAGATACCTTTCACA